ACCCGGGCGGGGCCGTATCTCCCGGGACGGACTGCGACGGGCTGCGTGTCCTGGGACGGGGCCACATGTCTGGGGATGGATTTTGTGTCCTGCAATGGGATGAGGGGCCGTGTGCCCCAGGACAGGGCTGTGTCTCGCAGGATAAGACATCCGTGCTGGGACATCTCTGCTGTGCGTTCTGGGATATAACATATGTTCTGGGATGGGATCTGTGTCCCATAACAGGCCCTGCTGTGCAGACTGGGATGGAGATGGTTCCTGAGGGACCAGTGCTGCCAGGGGCTCTGCCCTGCCGTGCAGAGCCTGGGCCAGGCTGCTGCCCCCCACAGCAGCGAATGGCCCAACCAGCCTCACCCGGGCCCCCACCACCTGCCCACCCCAACCTGTGGGGCCAGGGCTCAATTTAAGCTGGCCCCGTGCAGCACTTGGAACAGGTCTCCTGGCTCTCCAGGCATAGGCTGCTCTTCTCTCTTCACCCCTCAGTTGGCAGGACTGTGCTAGCCCATGGCTTTTGGGGAGTCCTCAAACCCCAGGAGTGGAACTCTGCCCTGAGCGTCTTGGTGCCTCTGTGCACACAAAACAAGAGGACACTGAGGTTGTGAGCAAGGGTGGTAAAATGAGGTGTTTAATGTGGTCACAAGCTGTACAGGAGGGTCAGCATGCTGCCCCATGCCGTCGCTGCATCTACACAAACATGAAGTCTGACCAGCAGATAATCCCATGGAAGAGGAAGCAGCCAAGGCTGAAGGCTCAGGGCTGCCAGTGGGGAGCCAGCCCCTCCTGAGCAGAGGCTGTGGTGAGTGGCACAGTGACAGGACCTGCAGAGGGAACTGACACAATCTGCTCCCCCCGAGGGTACCCAGCCACATGCTGCAACTCATGCCGTTAGCCCCCAGCTCTGCGGAAGGAAAGAGGAGCCTTAGTGGTTTATTGCCTTTCCTGATAGTGCTGAGCACCCTCTGCCCATTCCAGCCTGCAGAGCATGGCATGGCGCAAGCAGGCGAGGAGCAACATGGGGCACGTGTCTGCTCTGCCTCGCACCAGCACAGCAGCCACACCTCTCTGCTGGTGCCAGCTCAGCCAGTGCCACAATGAGCTGTGCCTGGAAAACCCGGCTCTGGAGCAGGTGTGGGCAGGTAAGCTCCCTGCCCACCAGAGGTGAGCAGCTGCTTCCTTGTCACAAACGTGGCAGGGGCTGGATATGGGTCCAACTCTTCCAGGTGTGTCTGATCGACCTCGAGGGGCTGAAGTGGGGGAATTCACACACTCATGCAGCTGCTGGGGGTAGTGGCACTAGGGTGACTAATAGCATGATGGGAGTGGCACAGCCAGGAGGAGAGGGCACAGGGGCTCCTTGGCCACCTGGAGCTGGAGGTGGCCCCATGCTCAGGGGTCCCCACTGTACTTGATGAGGTGGCCACTGAAGGTGATGTAAGTGTCATACTCGTCACTGAAGATGGCATTTTCGCGCTCACCCTTGTAGAGCCGCACCCAGACCTCATCCTGCTCCTGCAGCTCCAGCATGACACTCTGGCTCTGCATGATGCTGCGGTCGCTCACCTGGGCGTAGAGGATCACCACCTCCGCCTCATTACGCATGATGTGCAGGTACGTCTCCTTCTGGTTCCAGGTGTGCACATTGAGGCTGAAGTAGTAGATCCCAGGGACATAGCAGTAAAACTTGCCGGTGAACATGTTGAAGTGGTCGTAGAGGTTGACAAACTCTGTGTCGAAGATGAGGGTCTGGTAGTAGTCGTTGCTGTGCAGGGGTTTCTTGCGGCCCACCGAGAAGGCAGCGTAGTGGTTCTTGCAGCGCTCCCCTGGGGCACCCACACTGCCCTTCTGTCCCTTGGGTCCTGCGTGGCCCCTGCTGCCAGCCACTCCGGTCTTGCCAAACTTTCCCTGCATGCCACGCTCACCACGGTCCCCCTTCTCGCCTGGACAGAGCAGGAGGGAGAGTTGGGCTGTCAGGCAGGGGCCAGCACTGAACCCAGCACCCCAAAAGACTTCTTGCTTGACAGAGAGGGATGGAGGCAGCAGGGACACCCCTCAGTCCTGTCTATGCCCCCTTTTGGGGCTCTTATGCTGCTGCCCAGAGGACACCAGAGCAGGAGCTGCTCATGTCCCAGCATGGCTCCTGTCTTCTCCCCATGCACTGGACCACAGGCGTCACCCCAGCTTCTCACTCCCAGTCTGTATGAGAGGAGCCACCAGGAGCCCAGTGCAGTGCTATGCTGGCACAGAGCGTGAGATCCTGCCAGCCCTCACCTTTCAGGATGGTCATGTTGATCTGAGGCCGAGGCTGGTACTGGGGGTAGGAGAAGTGCTGGTCGGGCGAGGGGCAGCAGCGGACACAGCGGGTCCGCTGGGGCAGCCCCTCCTGGGCACCATCTGCCTTCTGCTCCTGTGTGGCCCTGGCAAGGCAGAAAGCAAAGCACAACAGGGAGCTACGGGGAGGGCGGGGGCCCTCTGCGGTGCCAGGGCTGCCCCGGCCCCTGCTGCACAGTGCCCTGGCCCCAGGGTCCCCTCACCTGGCAGCTTGGTGCTGGGACGGAGCCTCCTCGGGGTATGTCCACCATCGCTGGTTGGGGATGGGGCTGGTCTGGCTCCCTGCAGGGCAGGGCAGCAGCAGGCAGAGCAGCAGGACTCCGTGCACCCACAGCCCCTCCATGCTGTGACAGTGCCCTGTGAGGTGCCAGGGATGGCTGAGGGGGACAGGAGTATAGAGATGCACAGCACAGGACAGGACCTGTGTACTGCACAGCCCCAGGATTCTGGCTGGGCTGTGGGATGTGGTGTCACCCCAGTGAGCACCTGGAGAAACCCATGTTGGGACACTGTGGGAGCTCTGGAGTCACCAACAGAGCTGGGGCCATGCAGACCCCCAAGCCCTGGCACATAAACAGAGGGGATTACCTGGGGAGACAAGAGTGGAGTAGAACAGCAGCCTCTGGCTGACTGGCCAACCCTGGGCCAAGCGCTGCCACTCTTGCTCAGTCTGGCTTCAGCTGCCTCCCATGGACACCCAAGAGTGGCAGTTTTGTCAGTACCTGAAAAAACTACAGGCAGCTCCAGACACCAAGGGGCAAACATCAGGGTGCAGCCCTGCCTGTGTGTGGGACCCCAGCCCTGCCCAGGGAGCGTGTCTGCACCCTCACTCCTGCAAGGATGCAGCACGGGCTGCACTGACCCTGCAAGGGCCTGCCAGCCCAAGGGTTTGCAAGGGGACAAGACACTTCTCCAGAGATATGTTTGCGGGCTGGCAGCCCCAGCTGAGAGCTGTTTACCACATGGTGAAACCTTCCTGAAAGCCCACATCCTTTGTGGGGCCAAAGCTAATATTTGCGGTGTTGGTGGCACCGTGGCCCAGCCCGGGCACTCCACGGCCCTTCCCTGACTTATCACAGCTGTATCTGATGGAGACATGAGGCTGGGCACGGAGCACCTCACCCTTTGGCCCCGAGGCACCAGGACAGCCGTGGCCAAACAGACGTGGCACTGCCCAGCGCTCGGCACCGTGACAGTGCAGTCCAAGGCGGTGCTGGGTCTCGCACACTGCTGTGATGGGGAAAGCTGCTCCCCAGGCTCCTATCTGAGCCAGGTGCCTCCCTGGGCTGGGACATGGGTGCAGCCTTTGTTGTTCTCCCCTCCCAAGCAGCCTCCCCTGGCACCACCTGGCTGTGCTCCACAGGCTCTGCCAGGATCCTGGAGCACCAGTCCCAAGGGGCAAAGGGCCTACACAGCCCTGTGTCATGGGGGTGGGTCAGGCCATGAAGGATTTTGAGGCAGAATCCTGTTGTTTTGGTGAACACCTGCTCTCAGAGCACCAGGATCCCCCGTCAGTGATTGATGGCTGTTATTATTGTCCCCAGGCACAGGGTCTGGGGATCACATATGCTCCACAGTGGGTGCAAAGGGCGTTTGAGGCCGGGGCAGATGCCTGGATTATGAGTCACTGAAACTGGGAAGAGGCAGAGGGATAGGGAAATGCTCCAAAGGGCTTTTCCCTGTTGCTCACACCCTCTGCCAAGAGCCTGGGGCCTTCACACGCTTCCCCTGCACCTCTGTCCCACTGTCTCTTGTCCCTTTATCTTGGCCTATGTCCCACTGGCACTGCCAGGTGTGGGGAGAGGCAAGGCTGTGGACACTCAGGTCTGTGAGCAGGGGAGAATTGGATCCATGGATAGAAGAATGAAGGAGGCCAAGCAGGGGCTTCAGAGCAGATATCAGCCAGGGCTGCCCTGGCTCTGCTCACCCTGCCTGGCCTCCAGCTAAGCACACTGCTAAGCATGGCATGGAGCATGCCAGGGGTTTGGGAAGCCTGTGCCTTTCCCTTAGCTCTGGGACCATCAAACCACACATTCCCCCAGGACCTGCTGTGTCACAGGGAACTGCTCCACGAGGAGAAACTTCACCAGGAAGTTCCCACGGCGGAAGGCAGTGCTTCCCAGGCTGTCGGGAGCAGAGGCAAGTGTGTGGTGCACGCAGGGTGCCGTCAGCGGCACGTGGGGCTCGCTGGGCCCCAGTATGTCCCCCCCTGCACCCCACGGGTGTGCCAGGCGGGAGCTGCCCACATGCACGTGGGCACACACGGCCCTGCCGAGGGACGCGGTTTTTCCTGTCAGGCTTGGATGCTCTCCAGAAGCAGTTGGAGATTTAAGCTCAGCGGCTGCGGAAGCCTTGGGACTGCAAGTCAAAACATCCCAGTGCATTCCAGGCGGAGATAAAGACCAGGATGAAACAGAACAAACCCTGGGGAATGGATAAGGAGCTCGAGGTGGTATGGAGGCAGCAGGACCTGCACCCCCAGCTCACCCTCCCTGCTCAGGGTGCTGGATACAACTTCCCTGCACCACAGCAGCCAGAACTGAGGTGCCTCTGGCGTCATGCTGGTGGTACAAGTTTCCCCATGTTTTGCTGCAGCAGCTGGAATGGTTGCAGAGCCCTTTTTTGCCCCGGAGCAGTGCAGACAGCAGGGTGGGGGCTGCATGGGGCAGCTGTGGGGAAGAGCCATGGGGTGGTCACAGCCCTCCACTCACACAGACATTGTGCTGGGGATCCCAACAGCCACTGTGTCCCCCACAGAGACGCTGCGGGTGGCCCAGCCTGTGTTTGATGTGTTTGTTGGGATGGGCTTTTTGGCAACATAGCTGGGGCAGGGCTGGAAGGAATCTCTGTCCTCCCGGAGCGTAGGACTCTGAGGCTCAGCCCTGCGGTCCCCACTGTCCCTTCACAGGCAGGGCAAGGACTTCACTCGACTCAGGGGGCACAGGGATAAATCCCCTCGCTGGACATTCCCTAGGGCATCCAAGAGCCTGGCTTTTTTTGGAGCCCCCCGCAGCCACGCCGCAGCACCCGTGGATGGGAGCACAACACGGTGCAGCTCCAGGGTGCTGACCCCTAGGCCTGCAGGGCACTCCCGAACCCACCCC